AATACTTGAGATTGTAGAAAATAAATTTAAGGAGGAAGAAATTGGCGTTTAATGTGTAAAAAATATTACTTGAAAAATGTAAAGAGAAGAAAATTAGGCAAAAGACACTTAATTAATATTACTTAATGTTAACAAAGATCAATCTTTTGAAAAATTAATGTCGTACTTTGCAGAAGAACAAACATGCTGAGAAATGAAGAGATTTAGCTGAACCAAGTCAAAGCTATTTTACTGTTGAGAGGCAAGGATCTCGCTGGAGAAAAAAAACAGAGCGAAGGGCAACAGCGAATTCGGCATGATCCGTAGCGGAAGTAGAATCCACTCGAAAACATTAGGCGGGGTGGTGGAGGCATGGAAGCCGAAACTGGCCAATCGTCTCTTCAGAGGCTCTTCCGGAGCACCTTGCCATCCCAGGGAATATCCGGATTAGACGTCATAAGAGCCTTACACCAAGTACGATACATTGCCGTTTTATTTCGCACATTCCTTCTAACTATCTGTGTTTAAACTCGTCTTTTGCACTTTTCAATATTAAGTTTTATTATTTTATTACATTTTATTTATTACACGGTTAAAGATTTTTCTTTTAGCAGATAATTGTTAATCTTATTTGCAATTGGTGCTAAAAGTAACTACTCCGATTTATATCAACTCTTATATTAAAAATTATTAATTATTAAAATAATTGTTATTAATTATTCATATCATTTTCATTGCTACATACCTTTCGTTGAGATAAAAAGTTTTAGCTTGTCTTGCTCGTATTGCAGACAGTTGTGTCACTGCGCTCAGCTTTGGACTCGTCACGCGAGGAGCTCCGCCGACTGCAGGAAAGCGTCGGGAATTTTTCCGGCGAGAGCTACGCTGATGAGGTTGGCCGTCTGGCTCTCGAGAATCACGTGCTCAGGCGAAAGATCCTGAGTAGAAGTTGCGAATTCTCGTGCGATGCGGCGACCAGCCCTCCGCTTCAGTCGAAACACGTCCGACTCGTCGTAGAAGCCCATATGGAGTGAGTGCAAATTGATTCAATCGCTAGCATAGAAAATGGATCCTTCGATCCAAGGATTCAATCGACGAATCAACAGCAGATTCATTGAAATTTTTTTACATAACAGTCAACCGACGGATCCTGAGGAAACCACTATGGATGTGCCCAAGAAGATTGCTACTGATGCTAAGATCGCGTTTAACGAACCAGCCGCTGACCGCGACAGTGGTAGCAGCAGCAACAACAATAGTCCTGATCTGTCTTCTCGTGCTAACCGACCCGACAAGTTTCAAGATTCATCAAAATCTTCCAAAAGCACAGTTAATACCAAAATTACCGAGATAGCGTCCACGATGCTGAACGTTTCCCTAAATGAGAACCATAAATCCTCGACTTTGACAACGAATGTGACTGGCAACGAGGATGAGCCTCGAGTGGAAATCTCAGGTAGATGATTCATAAATATAAGCTAAAAATTTTTTTTAACGAGATATTGAAAATTATGGAAAGCACGATTTATTGTTAGACTTTTTTAAAAATATATATACATATACATATCTTTTATTAAAATATTTTTAAACGTGTTCTATTCGTTGGCGATTCTAGGCGATGCAGCTAATATGGATCATTTAGACATTCCTGAGAAGGATACCGAAGACTTGAGTTTGAAATCCATTTCTGAGGGCGATAATTCCGTGTTCAGCGATCAAGTGGATCAATCTCAGATACATCGGCAGGGTCAACCGGGTGATTCGCCGAGACCGAACGAACACTCGGAAAATGAATCGGAAGAATTGGACGACATCGAGCTGATATTCACGACAGATGAGACATGTCGCGATCTCGGTCTGCAGGAGGACCTGGTGTCTATTACTGAAACGGAGACCTGGCAGCACGCGGGCTCTGGTGGCCAGCCTATCTTACTCAAATACACAAAGTCAGCGGAGGGCGAGTCGTTGGTCTGTAACGGTGAAAAAACCAGCTCCGTTGAGGAGCCCGTCTCCTCGCAGAGTTCTAGCATCGATCGCGAGGAGAGTGTCGATAGATTCGACGAAAGCTCCAGTACCAGGCTCAACAAGATGTGGTCGCAGTGCTCCGTCCTGGTTGAGACTGACATTAGCAAGTGCGGTGTATTGGAAGATACCGAAAGTACAACAGGATCATCCTTGCGGCATGTCACGAGGAGAAACACTCTCGCTGCGCCACCGACGGCTTACAGGTTTACAATATTAAATAATATGCTTCGAGAAACGATCTTTTAACCTTGCGTCGTGTCTAAGAAATTCATAAATTGTGATATTCGTACAATTTACGTTGATTATGTATTTTCAGCTTAAAATTTAACTATTTGGTCGATTGTTGTTATCAATTTCTAATTGTATAGATATGTTTTATTGTTTTTTTTCTTAATTGTTACAATTTTATAATGTATTATTATCCGTTGTCCTTCCAGACCTATTATTCACCGGGAAGCTCTGGCTGGTAGTCGGAGAAAGACCACTGCTCCATTGCGGCCGGTGATGGACCGTAGTAGTGGTGCCCGAAAAGAATCTGGTGCACAGACGGACATCTCCGCGCTTCCAGCACAATGGCGATCCGAGAGCTATCTCGCACATAAGGTCGCGCATACCTTTACGACACTACCGAGCAAGTTTGCGCTACCAACCGGAGTGCCTGGCCGATTGAGGCTGTCGGACAAAACTCGAGAAGCTAGAAGAGTGATGTTGTCGGACATCAGCTTTACTAGCATGGTACCAGAATTATCGAGGAGCGCGGATCACTTGTGCCATGAACCACATGCGCAGGTAAAGTTAAAACAAATCTGTTGAACAACGTCTTACTAACATTAGACTATAAATAGGCTGTATATATTTATTCAATTATATTAGACGGTAAAATAGATAATAAATGTTTTTTCAATATTTTAGAGTTTACTCTTTGGAGATAATTTAATTTAAAATTTAATTATAGCACAAAAGAAGGATTAGTAAGAGTGACATTTTTATGCAAAAGTTTTTAGTTATTAGATTGAAAACTGCATAGAAGTAAATTTCAGATTTCCTAAAGAATCGTTATTGAAACCAGTATAATGGTTTTTTCCTTCTTCAGACGTGTCTTAGTTCGCGCGGCTGTGGTCTCCGTACACCGGAAGTTCATAGACGCGAGTCCCTGGGCTCTCCTGCGGGATACTGGCCCCGTTGCAATCCCGCAACGGGTCTGCCGAGTCCCTGCGACTGTCGGCTGTCAACCGACCTGTATCCTTCGCGATATCGCGGCTCTCTGACGTCGATACCGTCGCCTGGACTCGAAGTTGTCGGCGGTCCTCCGCGAAGACACTCCTGGAGAGCGACAGCGGCATCCTTCGACACGTGGAGGGTCCCAGTTGCAACTTCCACACCAAGGCCGACATGGTCCTCGATGCCATCTTCTCCAACACACGTGCATCCCCCGTCGACCTCCTCCAAAATTTCGAAAAACGCACCAAAGAGAACGCGATCCAAGGTGACCTTTCAAGGTACGGTATATGTACAAAGTGATAATCGGGAAGTTGCAAAATGAACATAATGCAAGAAGTATTTGAGAAAGGAAAAAATTTACATTGATTCAGATAGTGAGTTCAAGATGAAAGAAAATGATCATAACTTCCAGAGTGTCCAATGACGCGCGGTAGTCTACCCAACTTGCGTTCAGACTCGGTCGGCGGCGAAAATAGCGGAGACTCTACCGAATCGTTGATCGACGAGGCCGAGGATTATCTGCGGCGAAGCATCGATTCAATGTTAACGATATCGAGCTCTAACACGGATTATTGGAGCAGGCAGACAGCAAGGCGAAGAAGGGCGCGAAGACATTCGGAGCCAGACTTGATACGCGATTGGCATCCTCCTCAGGACGCCAAGCCATATTTGCCAAAGGTATTGGTCACGTTCGTGATTTTTTACGCTTCAATCGTTGAATTCTCAATGTTCTAAATTTATAACTCGAATGTTTGTGTTTACCCTCCAGATACCAAGAGATCTCAAACTGGATCACCTCGTAAAAGTCATATCGCCGGAGGGCAGGGTCCTCCAGGGTCGCGTGAGATATGTAGGTCCCGTTCCAGGTCGAGAAGAAGTGCATGTGGGAGTGGAACTGCCATATGTCAATGGTTCATCCGATGGTACCTTCCATGGCAGAAGATTCTTTGATTGGTAAGCTTACGAGATTATTTCTAAAATACTTCGCAAATATATTTCGCAAACGCGAAGCTCGAGTATTATACTTTTTTATTTGAAACTATATTAAGGAATAGGAAGAAAAAATACAAAGAAGAATTCTTGAACGTAAATAAAAATTATAAAATCAATTTAGCTATTTTTTTCTGTTCGTCTTTAAATTATTTAGACAATTTCGCCGTAATAACCTTTCTGTTTTTAACATTTCCGGACATATGCCGCTATAAAATAAAGTGTTTGGTATACAATTAATTAAATTGTAATTTAATAAATCCCATCGTTTATTTTAATCAAGAATAAATGTTATTTAACAGCGAGCCGGATCGAGCAATCTTTGTCCCCTTCAAGAAGGTGGTGCTTGCTTGGTGCACCACTTGACCCGAAGCACCGACCACCATGGTCACTCCTCGTATTCTACTCTCCCAATACACCATGTAAGAACTGGTCGATGACATGTAAGTTATGCTTGTGGATTGTCATCTTCGAAAGTTAGCCAGTCTCTGATTAGCGAGATGACTATTCCTAATCTGTGGCGATTCTATAATTCTACTATTCCCATACAGAATCGTCTACGTGTTAAAGTTTGTCGAAAATGTCGAAATTAAAAAAAAAAAGACACCTTCGGACACCAGTGCAATAGCAGATTTGCCAAGATATATATTAAAACTTGTTATAAATCGCACCCACAACAGCGAGCATTATGTGATCAGCATAATTATATTTGTATATACTATACGTATATACATACACGTACATCCAATACTAATCAACTTTGTGTGATATCTTCAAGTGAGTGGATTATCGCCACTAGCTGCAAAGATAGTAGTGATGAATTCCGCTATATCAACGTCTTACTGTGTTTGATTTTCTAAGAAATAATGACAGAAAAATAAAGATCAGAGATACTTGAGTATCTTTGAGAAACTTAAGTACTTATACATGGTATCAGTGGGTGTTCCGAAAATAAGAACAAATAGAGCAACAATGAAAGATACTTTGGAGAATGAGGGAATTAAAAGAACAGATTCGTGTAATTGAAAAAGATAAAATCAGCCGCCAATTAATTTCCAGCAGAAATAATCAAAATTAATCGATAGTTTCTATCAATAACTGAGAGGCTACGTACAGCAAACTCTGCTGTTTTATTTCACAGCGTGCCACACGCATTGTGATCGTATTTTACGCGAGTATTCTCGGCGACAATGTTTGCTTGCCGCGCGATATTGTAACGTTAGATTGTTAAGGGATTGTGTTCAAAGAGAAAGGATAAATTTTTTATTTTGGCTACTGCGATCAGTTCTTATTAATACACACATCGAGAAAAGTTTCGCGTTTCATCCCATTTTCTCTCTATATCAAGATGGAAAATAATTTTCGTATAACTTCACCTAACAGATTGTTTCCTCCAGTCCGTAATATTAGTATTATTGACGCTGTTTCTCCGTCAGATGAATAAATGTGCAGTTTAATCGATATAAAATAAGATTACGATATAAAACTTTTTTTCGATGTGCGTATTTTTGGACTGGAACTAAAAAGAATAGTAGATAAAAGCGGTTCGCGTAAAGACAGTAAACGCTATCAGATTTGTTATGAACTTAATATCTTCGCGCGTTGCTTACGAGCTTTCGATGAACAAATGTTTTAGTGTACGTATGTATATGTATTTTATGTATATGTATATCTATCTGTACATTTTAAAGAGACACGCGTATATAAAGTGTGGGCACTACACTTGGCTGTATAAATACAAATATTAATCATATCCCGAGGCTGTACCTATTGTCTTAACCGAGGAATCCGAACATTTTTGGTTTATTTTTTTGGAACGGCGAAGAAGACCGATTCAACGTGTTCTATCACTGAATTTTTAGATCCATGGATACTTAGCTGAATATTAACGCAAAAACGATGAGATGTCAATCTTCATCACTATTTATTGTACCGTAAACAGATACCAGAAAATAAAGAAAATTGGATCACAAGATAAGCTACATCATCCGCCTCGAAAATCTTTCCTGAAAGCCTTGAATTCTTCGGCATTAAAATATCGAACTTGCGTATAAATTAGACTCGAGAATTTACATCTTTTATAGACAACTCGTTACTAAAGTCTCATGTCTTTTATTCCCAGAGACTTCCGACGATTAAATTTCGTTCGTGCAGCCTTCGTCGCTATACATACAAGTTATAACTTCTAATTACTACATTAACGATGTTCTGCGCCGTCTTCGATTTGCCTTGGGAAATTACAAACGATGAGCCGGATAGTCGGCATACCAGCTGAAAGCTCCGTTGGAGCCAGTATGTCCTCCGAAATCGACATAGTCCAGGACACGTGCGGCCGATCGCTCGGAACGCTGTATCTCAGAGTCGTCTTGATGAGAAGCGCTGGATACAGCAACTGGTACATATGCCTCCGTTTGTCTGGCCACCCTTGATAACGAGGGAGTGAGCGGATTCACCTCGATGACGTCGATACCGTCGATACCGTCGACAGGAATAGCGATGTAACGTCGACCTCCTAGTACACCGCAAACAGCGCACAGCAACGTCAATGCAATACCCTAGAAAAAAAAAACATCAAATTTTATTCAATACTTTATCAGTCGGGAGCCTATTAATAGGCCTTTTACTGCCTATTGACCGCTCATCGATTGGATATTAATTGACAATGAACATTTCGTTATTCTTATCATTCTGCTATATGTATCGATTTCCAAGTTTTGTTCGAAAAACATTTACAGCAATACGTTCGACAATGTGTACCGATTTTATCCGCGAGCAGTAGATAAAGTGTCAATATACATTATCTTTCTTTCTTTGGCATTTGAAATTCAATAATTTTGAAATCAAAGCGAGGGTTTATAAAATAAAATCTGTACACATATTCAAGAATTTGATCTATTGAAGAGAATCTATCAAATTATTTTGTCAAAATAAAAATTTTGATTTTAACATGGTCTCCATTTTAATCTTTATTATGAAATTATATTATTCTTTTTTAATTATTATTAGTCATTTAAACGGTAATTAAAAATAATTTATTTCAATATAAGAAAAGAACATATTATACACAAAATAATGAAATTTAATTTTGAATAAATTTGTGAAATATACTTCTCGAGTCTTTTCTTATTATTGAAAAACGAGATATTCCATTTGTCGAATGCAATTTAACTCTATGTAAAGAGATTAATGAAGTTACAATAAACAATATAAATGTTATTTACCAAATTATTCATCATTCTTGCGGTGAGCTGAAAGTAAACAGGAAATCGATTCGTCGAACTAAAGAGAGGAGCTCAGTCGTCGCCGTTTTATACGTTTCGCTTCGCCGCAGCTTTCTAGTCTCTCTGGAAGGAACCGACAATTACTTCTGGCTACTTCTTATACCATGTTTATCCCAATCGCGAGTCAATTGTCGCGCTAGGCTGGTACGACCGCGAGCCATTAAAACGTGCAGCGGAGTTCGCGAAAAAAAATCGTTATATCCTTCTTCCCGAGTCACGCCTTGGCACTTTCGATCTTCTTTTAACCGAACTTTCGATCATCCTTTATTTTCCCCGTGCGTTTTTCTTTCCGCGATTCGATGCGGCACGCTTGCCGATTCAGCTACTTGTTGACGGTTTAATAACTTGAACAATCAGTTTTACAAAAAATGAATTTATTTTCTTACATTCTTACATTCTTAAATCAACAAAAATTATTCTTTTTTATCATTATATACGCTTGTCTTTGTTTAATCGTCATCAGTTTGAAACCTAACTATTATAACAACGATATCAGTATCTTTCTTTTCTTATCACATTTTATCATTATTAAACAGAGTGAGCTGATAAAACTTGCGTAATAATTATTAATGTACTAAATCCTTATACTATTGAAAGAGCTACTCTCACATTTGTTTTTTTTCCGTTTATCCAACTGTTATCCTTAAAAAATCATTCCATTATATTACGATTTAATTATTCACTCATATCGCATATATTGTCATATGTTAATACAGTTAAAAATAATATACAAAAATAAAAAATCAAATACGTATGTTATAATATCTTAATATCTCCATTCCTTGAAAGATAACTTCAACTATCATTTGTTTAAAAGTAAGAAGCGAAACCTGAGTTTAATCGTTTTATGAATTTACGATTCCAATATATCAAAAATATTATATCCTATATACTAAAAAACAGTTATTGTTTTTTATATATACATATATATAAACTTTGATTATAAAATAGGAACTACTATATATATATATGTATATAAATAATACAGTATAGTGACTCCAAACAGAAAAAGAATCGAACTTAATACTTGGTTTCGCTCTGCATAATGTTTGGATTAATTTGAGTAGTTCGATATGTTTCATCTAAGTTGCTATTCAAATTCATTCGAAGATTATTCGCGTAGTGTGTCCTATATTAATATTTTTCTTTTACTGGTCAGAGAATTGTTCATTTGCTTCTTTATCAGTATTTTTTATTTCTTCAATCGGCTGCTCAGATTCCTAAAAAGTTATCATAAATGAAATAAAACGAAAAGAAGAATTGTCAATATTCACATCAGTTTCGTGAGTCACAGTATATTCTTAAAAATATGATAAATAAACATTATTGCCTCTTTTGATACCATTAATTCAATTATTTCTTGAAATTAATATTGGCCTTATGAATAGCATTTACTCAGGATCGGATAGAATGAATGGAGAATTGCATCTACGACGGCGAGACAAACGTGTGAAACTCACTTCCTCGATTTCAGCCAATCCTATTTGTACCAAATTATCCCCAATGTTCTGTAATGATAGAGCATTTATAAGACTTTTAAACAAACACGTTTGTAATACGTGTTCTAAGTTTTTCTTTTAGGAAAAATTATTTTGATACAATTTTCAAATGAAATATTAACATCGAATACAGCTTTCTAAGATATTTTTAAGATATGTCATTAAAATTAATTCCACGCAACAGTGTGAGCACAACATTCACTACATAAATTTTTTATACCCCTTTCTTACCCGATTGTTAGCCTTGTCGTACAGATCAATGCAAGGAATCACTGACCCTTTACGGTGAGGTTCTTCGTGTGCGACCACACGCTCTTTGTAGCCTTTAACTGTAGCAATAAGCGGTTCCCATTTCCCTAAATGAACAAATTCGGCGAACTTCTCGCAGGCTTTGGAAGTCCACTTGTCTCCTCTGAAAATAACAATATGTTTCATTGAAGGCGATCAATAACTGAAATGAAGTCATTGATCAGTGAGATATTGATTTACGGTGGCTTCACGTTTGTCAGCGAACACTCCACCGCCTGCTGTCGTAAGCTCAACATATTTGTACAGAGTTCCAACATATCATCTTCATGCACGATTTTCACATCTCCATAATCCACAAGAAAGACTTGGTACATAGGGGAGTTTAAGACGGACATTACTTCTGCACGATACCACTTGTTGTCATATTTATGTCTGACTGCTACCGTTTGGCCTTTTATTATCTAGAATTAATAACCGGTTATAAACTATAGATATAATTGAACTATATTATTATTAGTGATAATATAATATCGTATGTACAACTTTATTTCTCGTTTATATTTATTTTAAATATCTTGCTACAGCAATATCTTAAAGTTAATCGAGTCACGTCTCTTCCGCTTACTGTTTTCAAAATATGAAGCTTGCAATTTTCCTCTTTATTGTAATATTCCGTCATCTCGTATACTAAGCACTGTAACTCAACGTTTGCACTATTTATCACTTGAATCCAGAACAGGTTTGGCGACTTCATCGCAGATACAAATACTTCCATTGAACCATCTATTAAAATTTAAATTTAATTGTAATACAGTATCAAACAAATTAATGAACTTTAATGAAATGCTATAAATTATAATTCACAAAAATCAAATGTTTCACGAATACAAGTTGTTTTTATTACGTACTTTGTAATGCAGGATTTAAAATAAGATGCTTAGTTTTACTTTTTATCAGACTAGCGGCTAACTTCACTTGTTCATCAGTCCCTTTTATTACTATATTTCTGTCTCTTGTATCTATAAAAAATAAATTACCACGATTACTACAACAATTGCTATCATAGATTGTAGCAGAATTAATACAGAATAATAAAAAAAGAATTAATTGTATATCATAATATATATAGTTAACAATGAAACAAAATATATTAATCAAGACAAATCGTAGCAAACACGTTAAAATGATATGTACCTTTGTAATTAGCAATAGCTTCATAACCTATGATTTTTGCACCAGAAGACTTTTCTATTTCTTCCATAGCACACCTATCTTTCTCTATGATTCCTCTGCAAACATTATATGGCACTAAATAATCATAAATATCACTATCAGGATCGTTTATCATGTCTTCAGCATCAGAATCTCCACAATATTCAGGCATTCTTCCAGATGAAAGATACTTCTCTAGCTGGCATTGAGCTTCGAAATTTTCCTGAACTCTGTCTTCTATTTCTATAACGGCTGATGCTATTTGGTCAACAGTTCCCTTTATTGTAACCCTTTGCTTCAATCCAACTGCAAAGAATTAGTAATTATTACAGTAACATGATACAGCAACATACGTAATACTATCGTTACTCAATATAAATTAGCACCATTCTCAACTGTAACTTTTACGCCGTAGGTTTTTTGAATCTGTTGCACAAATTCAGCTGGCCTTGGAAAAACTTCTTTAAAGGCTTCGAAAGGCAGGAACAATTCAAAGGTTTCGATGACAGGTTGATTCTCTACTATATATTGTATCATACTCCTCGCCGAGGTAATGTTTTTCATGTCGTCGGACCATATGTTACAGATACGTTCTGAATTAAATGAGATTTCCTCATCCATTTTGATGCGCGTGTTGGTTAACTCTTGGATATTTGTTATCACAGTACCACCTTTACCGATAACAGCGGGTACACACTTATGAGGTATACTCAATTTTACACAGACTTCCTTGCGTTTAGACTCTCTTTTTGCTACCCGATCATGTTTCTTTCTATCATCATCATCATCCTGCGATACGATGTTAATAGATAAACTTGTATTTAACAAACAAATAAACTTTACTGAACTTTATATAGACAGATTTGTAATCGAGAAAAAGTGGCATAAAGAAATTTTGTGGTAGGAATGCAAACTTCACCTTTTCAAGCATATTAAACAACACAAGTGCCACTGACAGTCCAAAAGTTGTTAGAGATATGCCTAATAAAATCGGCAATACCGACTGTCTGTTCACACTTGATATCCACTTCATTTTTCTATGGATTTAACCAAAATGATGTATCTTGATGTATAATATCTGCAACAAAATATAAAAACATTGAAAACATGCATGTATTATTTATATAATTAATAATTTATACATATTTATACATACTCATTTTTACATAATTAAAAAATATATATTTCGCTTTTTTTTCCACTTTTTATTAATACGTAAAAATTTTCTCAGTAGTAACACGTGATTATCTTACGTTTTCGGCGTAAAATTTAAAAATCTCATCTAATATTCAATAATTTCATAAAAAGATACATCTCGTGTAAAATCTCGATTTAACTGTGAACTCGCTGGTGAAAAAGTTTCTCATATTTTCTCAGAAATTTTCTAAGAATTTATTTTTATGAAAAATTTTGAAAAAATATATAAATAATTTCTCAAATACTTTCAGAAATAATTGGATAAGGATTTTCGGAATACATCAGTATCCGTATATGTATGAAAATTTCTGATAAAAACGCAGATTTTCTTATATTTATTCAGATTTCTACAAAGATGTGTTGGCGGGAAAAATCTGAAATATTTTATTATTATTTTGTCAGTTTTTCTGAAAGATGTTCCAATTTGTGTTAAAAGTCTGAAAAAAATCTTAAAATTCTAAGACAGTCTTAAAATGTTGATGGGAATTCCGATTAATACTATGAAAAATTCTGAGATCTTTTCCAAGACTATTATTGGAATGTGCTCTACAATAGAAAAAAATGGGACGAAAAGATAAAGAACCAGTTCGTCTTTTTATAATGCTGTATTCATCGAAAACAATAGAAAACAATTGATCAATCAAAATTCGCTAAAGAAACAGAAATAGGGTCTGTCTTCTGACTATTGCTGAACTGGCTGCGGCTGCACTAGTTCAGCAACAGAAAACAGACCCATGATCCCTAACCTACCCATCTTTTTCTTTTTTTTTCCCGGGTGCTAATTAAACCTGGCAGTTCCATTCACCTTCCAGTACAGTATATAGTTCGTTCATATCTTTAGCGATTACATCATTGTTGATCATTGTTCACGCGTTATAACCTCAATCGTGGATTCGCGTTCCCGTTAGAAACGCGAAGATTGCTATTAACAAGCATTAATGAGAGATACCAATAATATAATGAGTCAGATGCTTTTCTCGTCCGATTACGCGATCGATGGAAAGAAAAAAGATGCGACCGCTTTCCTCGCACTTGGAAAGAGACGCGCACCTAACCTCTCATTTCCATTTTTACGTTTCTCCTATATTGTCCCTACTTGTCTCTGTTAAATACAGTTATCGGTTATAAATACGCTCACATGACATAATCTATTAACATAAATCGAATAGATACCTCAGTTAAATAGAATTTGACCACGCGGAATAAGAAATACAATCTCTGCGATAAGACCCGGCGGAATCATCACCTCTTTAGTTCTTTTTAGCTGAACTTCTTGCACGGTTTATCTTCTCTCTTTGTCTCTCCAACGTGAAAAGAAAGAAAGGAAAGATGAACCGTGCAGAAAGTTCAGCTAAAACGAACAGACCTAATTTTCATCACTTATCTCTCGGAAGCCGAATACCGGAACTGGGTATCGATCATGTATCTTTTCCCCTAGGGCGGAACGTGAAAAGTGAAAAGTTTATCTCTTTCTATTCAATACCAATAGAAAGAAATAGTTACATGAAATTTTTCACTTTTCACGTTTCCGCTCTAGGGAAAAAGTTACATGATCGCTACCCTGAGCATTATACGGCCTATACGCATGCGTAGAACGTTATCATTTATCAAATAGATATCTGTCCACGTGTCCACTGTCCACGACGCTTTCAGGAGACACAACTGTTGAGTTCGTCTTATCAACACACTGCGTTGAT